CTCTCTCTCTCTCTCTCTCTCTCTCTCTCTCTCTCTCTCTCTCTCTCGCACGCACACATTCCTACTCCAAACTCTTCTTGTTGTTCCAGAAAGTTCACTGAATGAATACAAGCAGTCACTCATGTGGACCTGTTGGTATGCTATCTCCTATGGCTGAATAACAATACAACAGAGAAGGTAGAGACCCTCTGTATAAAACAAGCTTAGAGAGATGCATCCCCTTAGCACCATGACATAGTGTCGTTGTCATGACAGCTCTTTGGATAGGAAGTAGCCCGCCTTCAGACAATACTTCCCATAACCAAAGCATTTAAAATGTCTGTGCCTAATACTACAGCTTCATTTGATGGTACTGAAGATAAGCCACAAGTGTGAAAGGGGATCAACAGGATAAGAACTTGTTTTGTTACATTCTAGAAAAGGCAACCGTGAATTTTGTGTGTGAATTTCTATGTGTCTCTCTGTGTGTACATGTGTACTTTAAGTGTCTTTAAGTGTACTTTAAGTGTACTTTAAATCTACTTTAAGTAGATTATGAGTGTGTGCATTATAGTAAAAAAGCAAGATAAATTAAAAAAAAATTAAGTCACTCTTCATCTCTGTCCTGGTAACCATAGGTGTAAGTCTCTCTACTAAGCAGGGAAGAGCATGCCCATTTCACTGAAATCACAAGGCTCACGTGAGTGATTGACAGAAGTATGTTAGTATTGCAACCAGGAGCACAGTGGAGAACCTTGTGAGAATACAAGCTCTTCATGCAGACTGAACTACTCAGAACACTACAGCATAATTCCTCCTTATAAGGCAATGAGACCACTTCCGGGGCATTCCTCTTATGGAAGGAATAGAAAGAAGTTTCTATTTATAAGAAGCCACATGCACACAAAAATGGTCCTTTAAATTCTACAGTCTCTTCAGACTCAGAATATAGAGGGAAGAAAACTCAGAGTCAACATCAAATTATTTTTTTAAAAAAGCCAATAATTTATCAGGACACATAATCAGCAAACCTTTATGGTGGCAAATATAAAACACACTGCACTGTATATGTTGGCAGGCATATACCTTCTTTATTTATGATATCATAAAATAAATTATTGGTGCAAATACTTTCTTGTACTGTACAGAATGCATTGCCAGAGAAGAGAAACTCGGTTCTATTTGAACAAAAGTGAGAGCGGGCAATCACATGCACATCACAAGCGTTAAGTCACATACACGAAGTGGACTAGCTGGACATTATGTTGAGTACTGTGCCTCTGGAGGAAAACCAAGTGATCAAGTGAGAGCAGAAGAGTCACTGTTCTTGTACAGTTGCTTTTCTTCAACCTAAAATCCATCTACTGTCACCACAGCCAAAATACAAAGCAAAGCATAAAAATTTGGATTCTAGTTTTGATGCTTCCCAGACTCAACACTTAATCAAGGGCTTTTCTGAAGTTCCACTGCTTCCTTATGACAGAAAATAGATTTTAAAGCTGTACAAGTTTGACTTCAATTATGATGTCTTCACAGACATATTATAAACTTCATAACCATACTTCAATCTTGGGAATGTTTTTCTTATTCCCTTACTGCAAGCTTGAGGACATATTGCACACTATAATCTCTTGCCATAGTGGTTTTTCATTTATGGATTATGAATCAAAAGTTTAATTGTTTCTACTATAAAATATTAATGATTAATACTTATACTAGTTAAGACTTATCATTAATATATCATATATAAGAAAAACAGACTTATAAAGATCATATTATATATCCCTAGAGTTAATTCAGCTTATCCAACTTAATCTTCTTGGGCTTGCATTTAACAATTCTCTAAGATCTCTAGAAACCTGATTTCTTTATAGAAAATATCACAGGAAAAAAATTTCTCCTCTAATAAAAATGTCAGGACAATTCTCATGTTATTTCATTTAGGATGATTTTATGTGTTTCATATTAAAAATATGTGCAATGTGGAGAATAGGAAGAAATATCACATGGTTCCACATTTTGTAGAACTTCTCATGAATACATGTCTTGATTAGATTTTTTTCTAACACACTCCAAAACTCCTAGGTGTCCTAACATATATCCCTAATATATTAGGGAAGAGAATAAGATCTAAGACTCTATAACATTGTCGTATCATAACTTGCAAAGGAAAAGATACATGAGCAGCCAGACATACACAAGGGATGACATGAGCTCATTCTTAGCATATTAAGAAGAAAAACGCACCTACCTGGTGACTGCCCGGGTGCAGATGGTGACAAGAAAGCAGCCGGCCACAATCATCCAGCCCCAGCCTCCATCTGGAGGGGATGCAGAGCTGGCTCTAGTTATCTTCGTCATGGTTTCAATTCTGATTTTCTTCTCTTTCCAAGTTACTGAAGCAGTAAGTTATGATCTTGAATGTTTGATACCCAGTAACTTCCTGTTGATACTCAAAGTTGGTTCAGGATGCTACCTGGCGCGGGAGTTACTGCCCAGCTAAAGCAAAAACAAAAATATG